TCGCTATTAGCGGACTGGCGGAATAGCGCGCTATTGCCCAACACTGATTAATACTATTATTACTGTTATTATAATAATAATAATTATTATTGTTATTATTAATATTTATATTATTATAAGTAATATCATTTTAATTAATATATTTGGTAATATCATTAATATTTAATATTATTTTTGGTGTTATTATTTATTACTATTGCTTGCTATAATTATTATTTATTTGAATTAATTATCATCATTAACCGTTATTTATTATTAGGAATAATTATTAATTAAAATCAATTATTATATTACTAATTAATATTCTTTATTGTTTATCATTGACAATTATAAATAACTTTTATTAATAATTATTAATCACTGTTCATTATTATTGATTATCATTCTTTACAATTATTTATTATTATTAAGTATAAATTTAAAGTATAATTAAGTAATATTATTAATACTATTATTATCATTAATTATTATTATTTAATATTATCTTAAATAATTGCAAATCTTCAATAATTATTGTGTGCATTTACAGACCTTATTCATTCAGTCCGCCTTCGATTTATTTTTGGCCAAATGCAACGGAAAACGTCACATATGGGACACTTGAAGATGCGCTGAAACAATTTAATGAATGTTATCGAATAAGGGGATCGCTATTTTGTCCGCATAAGATCGCAGATAAAGTTCGTCGTTCGATTATCGATTTCAAGTCGTTTCTTTCATCAATTTGAAATGAGATAATACAACGCTTATTTTTCACAATTTTTCCCTAAAATTATTCATTACAATTCTTTCGTCGGTGCCTTTACCTTCATTCTTTCATCGACGAATCCAAAATAAAATCTTTCAAAAAAATTCTTTTACTTGGAAATGTTTTTTCTTAAGAGAAAATGACAAATGCGTTCCATTCTCCCTTTCGTTTATTCTTTTCTTTTCATTTTCACGCAGTTTCATACTCTCTCTGAATGTCCCCTTTCATCTCATTTCACTACGGACATCATTACTTTTGACTGTATTCGAAATTTCTCTTGCAGGTCATCGAAATTTGCGATTGGTTAACAGAAGGCGTGAAGATGTGGAATTGGTTCAATAAATTTTATCTGTTTTATATGGGCCGAAAACAGCAAAAAAAAGTTTGCAAAAAGAACGCTGAACTGCCGTCCGAATATTGCTTCGACGACGTACGTCCAGATTCGGATGGCAGAAACGAATGGGAAAGGTGAATTGATCAGTGACGTATTTCGTCAATTCATTTGTCCATTTCGCATTCCAATTTGCAGAATTCCTCTCTTCGGTTCGAAATTATTTCCAAAAACGATAACATTGCACTGATAATAATGTGAGCGATGTCCCGAATCGTTACCGTTAATCGATGCTTGTGGTGTGTTCGGATGCGATTATAATTATGGTTGCGCTTATTTTAGAATTTATTTTAAGGATTAGGTACAAATGTTACCCGAGTGTGGCTGTTCGTCGCGGGAATCGACTGATGGGTATTGGATACTTGCGGTTTAGATCCGAGTATGTTTACCATGAACATTCCTCCATCCCGCAAGAGGACGAATCCTCAGTCAAATCAGCCCTCAAAACACGATTTTATCAAAAATGCATCAGGTCAGTCCAACTTCAACGCGAATTAATTTGATTATTGAAATATTTTCCGTTCGCAATGTTGATGTATAATTGCATTTGGATTTGAATGTTTTAGCTGGATTACCTGGATTGGCCAGGCTATCAAACGTAACTAACGTTGCTGGCCACAATGCGTTTCCATTCGGTCCTTGATCTTGTTTTCCTT